AGAAAATCCATGACCAAACAATCCTATCTTTCTAATTTCCATTAAAATTCTAGAAAACATTTCCCACAGAAAAAAAAAATGTGAGCTTCCCAACCCAGAGTTTGTGACCAGGGTATGGAAGTAATATCCACTTCCAGAAAACATCCTGTGTAGTTCATGCCCCACTGCCTTTCCTCGTCCACAGTTCTTGCCTCCAGTGGAGCTAACAACTGTCGATCAACCCACATAGTTTGTGCCTCTCATAGGTTTGCACATATTAAGCCATACCATTCACTAGCATCTTCTGTAGACTTTGGGATGCCCACACAGCCATTCTGAAATGTTCTGTTTCCAGGGATGCAGTAACAACCACTGGCTGGGAAAGCTGCATGAAGACCAATTCGTCCTCGCCACGTGGCCTTCATTGACAGAGAACTCAATTCCACATGGAGAGGGAAGGACCTGACTCTTGGCAGAACATATCTGAGGCTCTCTCATCTCCCATCAGCCCAATCCCTCATTCTGTTGCCTCCAACTCCTTCTGTCCTCGGTCTACCTTACTGTACGTCAGTCTTGGGCTTGCCAGCATCACAATCCCCATCAGAACACAAACACTTCCCTCTTCTCCTCTGTGGAGCCATTCTGAACTGTGCATTTTACCAGCATACTGAGAGTTTGAAAAGCCCAAGAACACCAAAGGAGCAGAGTTTTAAGTGGGGTCTTAGTGACCCTGCGAGGGAGATGTGCTGCCTGAGTACTCAGCTACACAATCCCAAAGCCACCTGGTACAGGAGTACACAAGGTTATCCCTCACCACAGTGCACTTGCACTTGATTGGCCAGGTTTTTATAGGTGATAGCTCTGACTTGGGAACTGGAAATCTGAACTTCAACAAGGCTCAGCTTTGCCACCCCAGAGCTGGAAAGTGCACATATCAGTGTGGACATAGATCATTTTTCTGGGTTATTGACGAGAAATGGGAATGTGAGCACAAAATGTGGCAGACATAATGGGGTGGAGGCAAGGGGACAGATTCTTTTCCAAAAATTACAGTAGGTATCACACTGTACTACAAACAAGAAATAACCGAGGGCCAATGGGGCTGTGTTGGGACTTAATATACGTATAACATTAGTAAAAATGGTATGTGGCAGTTAGTTCAGGTGGCAATCCTCGAAGGGGCAGATAAACCTTGCTGCCTCCTCCTCCTCTATGGCAGAAGCTGGAGAGAGAAGAGGGCACAGGGGATTAAAACGAACCCCTTGGGAAAAGGCCCCAGGGCCTCATTTTCTATCTTTATTTTTCTTTGAGCATATCTACAATTAGTGAAAACAATAAAATTACTCTGGTTAAAGTAAGCCAGAACTGTTTCTAGGTAAGCCTATGAAAAAAATTTAAACTAGGTTTTTCTTCCTGGGACTAGAAACTGGCTTCCTTATTAGAGTCCAGCATAAATCATTACTGACAACTGCCCAATAGAAGTAGGATTAATCTAACCCATATGTATTAAATGCCCACAAGGCCTGGTTAGCTTACTAATATCTCTATGTGGGAGCTGAAGCCACTAATTAGGCAAGATTTCTTACCGCTGCACACATTCCTTCACCACTTCATACTGGCCGATGGAAGCTGCTGTGTGAAGATCCAAGGGGACAGCCAGCTCCTCCCAGCTGACCTGCGCACCCAGCCCATGCCACATGGACAAGCTGCGAGTCAGGAGTTCTGGCTCACTGGCTTCATCGCTGAGTTCCGACATTGCTGTGGAGGGAGGCCCCAGGGTTAGGTCTTTCTTTCCTGGTGGTTCCAGGGAATGAATCAGGATGGTCACACTCCTATCCACAGTAGGCAGCTCTCACTCTCTTAGCAGTCTGCTTCCCAATGCAGTCAACTCCTTCCTGGGACTGACTTAGACAACTTCCTCTCATTACATATTGTATGATTTTGTGAGTTTGTCATGAGACAGTAAAAGAAGAGCATATATAGTGAATCATAAACCCTACATATTTTTCTCATTAATCCGCAGGCCCCACATTCTAGAAAGGGTATCTTCCAGGAACTCAAGAAGCCTGCCAACTTCTTGGAGAGTCAGTAAAGAAATGCTGATTGGGTCAGTGAACCAAATCAGCTCTTGCATGTGGTAGGAAAGAACCCTAGACTTACATTATATCAAAATTTAGCTGTACTGCTTAGCATCTCCCATCCTCAGTTCCTAGCTGTCTAATGGATACATAATATCTCAAAGGGTTGCCATTAAAGACACAGAGGGAAAAAAAAAGACACATGGAAGAACGGGTAAACAAAGAGTAGCACATTCACAGGACGGAATGCTACTGGCAATAAGCAGAAAGAACAACAGCTGATATACACAACATTGGAAGCAATCTCAAACACTGGCTAAAAGCTAGATTCAAAGGCTACCTACTGTATGATTCCATTTATATGACTTTCTAGGAAAGATAAAACTAAAGGGTTGGATGGACAGATCACTAGTACCAGGAGTTTGGGGTTTGGGGCACAAAGGGACAGCCAGAGGGATTTTGTGGGTGACAGATCTGTTCTGCATCTTAACTGGTAAATATTGGACTCTATGCATTTATCAAAACTCATTTACTGTATGTAAATTTTTAAAAGATTTTATTTATTTTATTCTTTTAGAGAGAGGCAGGAAGGGAGAAAGAGAGGAAAACATCCACGTGTGGTTGCCTCTCATGTGCCCCCTACTGGGGACCTGGCCCGCAACCCAGACATGTGCCCTGACTGGGAATCAAACCAGTGACCCTTTGTTTCACAGGCCAGCACTCAATCCACTGAGCCACACCAACCAGAGCTGTAAATTTTTTAAAACAAACAAATTTTGAAAAAAATTGAGAGCCTCTATCATACAGACTAGGATGTGTTTGGTGTTCAGCGAATGTTAAGTGACTGCGAATCTACCTATGCTTCCCTTGAAAGTAGGAGATATAGGACAACACCAGAAGAAATGTCTGTGATTATGAGAGCCCTTTATTCTGGGAATCCTATCTAAATCAAGGTCAAGTCATTAGCTTCCTAGTAGAACCTTCAGGCCCAGGAGTGACATCTGTCTCCTGTTCTTTTCTGGGTGGGAAAGAACAAAGAAGCAAATATAGGAAAGGGAAAGAAACAGAAAACAAAGAAAGGCCACACATCCAGTTCAGATGGCCTAAAGGTACCAAATCATTTCAAAGATGCCACTAGGACCTCAGTCTCTACTAAAGAATCTTTCCAAGCCCCAGACGACAGCCAAGATGGCCAAACAACAAACAAACTGCCAATTTGGAGGCCAAAAAAATGTGTAGGACCTTTGCAAGAGTATGTGCACATGTGATGGGGCCTACAGGCAACAAAATTCAGAGCAAACCCCTGCCTCCTAGAATCACCATCTTTCACACGGGCAGGGCCTGAGTTCAAGGAGCTCTCACTTCACAGGTGAGCACCCTCAACCACAGCAGTCCTGACTCACCGGGCCTGGATTAGAAGCCAAATAAGCTGGGTCAGTTCAGAGCTCTTTTTAATACACCCCTCAAGCTTTCTGTGGGCGTGTCTCTTCCACCCCAAATGCCTCCTGGCGGGTGAAGCCCCTGTTGTCTCTCCTTTTATTGCATGCTCACATGTCTGACACCCTGAAGAGTGCTCAGGAACAATCAGAACCAGACTCCTGCTCAAGGAGGTCACTGAGAATACGGATATGAAGGGACCAGATAGTTATTACTTACTTTTTACCCTGCCACATGCCAGACACTCTACAATGACAGGGTATTCGCTATACAATGTCTTTTGCATGTCGCTTCAAGAACTCATCTCCAAGAAGTAGTGCTAGGAATAAAACCCCTTTTCACTCTACCTTTTGGTTCCGCCCATTTTGTAAAATACTAAGTATCCATTACTTTAAAAACACGCAAAGCGTTAACGTAGGAAAAAAAAAAGATGACGTAGCCGGTGTTTGAGGTTGCTTCCAATGTTGTGTATATCAGCTGTTGTTCTTTCTGCTTATTGCCAGTAGCATTCCATCCTATGAATGTGCCACTCTTTGTTTACCCATTCTTCCATGTGTCTTTTTTTTTCCCTCTGTGTCTTTAATGGCAACCCTTTGAGATATTATGTATCCATTAGACAGCTAGGAACTGAGGATGGGAGATGCTAAGCAGTACAGCTAAATTTTGATAAGAAAAAGAAAGGGAAGAGATATCTGTAAAAGCCCCAGGGCACCCCTTTTCCGCACAGGCTCGTGGGCCTTCGCCAAGGCCGGGGTACCCCAACTTCGTTCTCAGACCATGGGGAGGGTTCCCAGAGCAGAACCCGAGCGCCTAGAGCACTGACGTCCCTTGGCGCCTCTTTCCAGTAACCCTACACGGAACGTGGCTTTATAGTGCCCGCTCCACAACAGCAAAAGCAGAAGCTACGAGTCATAAACTAAGACAGCGAACAAGCTGATGGGTTAGGATGCCCCGCTCCGGGTTGCGCAGGTGGACAGCAGGTGCCGGCACCAGGCAGGGCTGGGCCGCGGTGGACCCTACCTGCGTTGGGCTTCGGGCCCTTAGCCGCCTTCGGCCTGCTGCCGCCACCAACGCCGCGTCCGCTCGCTGCTGCTCTCCTTCGGCGGGACTCACTCTTTGCCGCGAGCGTTTGGGACCCCTCCACGCCGGGTGCCGCCGTGACCGGACCCAGTGGCCCTGCTCCCGCCCCGGAAGTGGTTACAAAGGCGCGGAGCACGCCGGGATGCTCGCGAGTCCCCGGGGCAGCTCCGGACGCTGTGGAATTTGCTAGTCCTACACCGGGACCTTCCTCTCAGCTGGCCCGGCTCGCTGTAGGACACCCGCTGCAGCCAATCAGCAGGGGGAGCTCGCTCGCCCCGCCCCTCCACAGACCATAGGAACCAATCCTATTGCAAGAGAGGGAAGAACCTCCAAGCCCCGAAAGAGACGCGGGAGGGTTGCTGGGCGGGGGAGGGGGAAGGGAGAGCGGTTGGCAGTACAGTAAAGTTAAGACTCTGCTGAAGGATTCCGAAGGCGGTGAAAGTCTCAGTGGTTGCGCCACAGCCCAAGGGGACGAACGAGACCGGTGGGACGCGCTGGAGACTCTTTATAGTCCTGTCAGGAGTCGGAGGCCTGAGGTGAGGGGCCTTGGGCCTGCCGCAGCTGCAGAGATAAATGTCGAGAATTAGACAGGATGTGGGAAAGCGGGGGCCAGGAGTGTGTGGGAGGACAGACGCTAGGTTTTTGCGGTTTCCGAACTTTAGCATTTAAAAACCTGACCAAGCAGGTCGTTGGCGTCTAGTTGTCATAACAACTGCCCGCCCCTGGGCGGGCTGGCAGGGGCGGGACTTTGGGCGGGGCTAACGGGCTGTAGCTGAGAAACAGAACTGGAGTTCAGAGTAGGGATTCGGGAGAGATTTGGACTGTCGGTTCGCTTAGCATTTGGTTTAACCCTTCTCCGCTGGATGAACCAAGCTCCTCAGCTTGGCGTTCAGGAGTGTACACGATCTGGTCCGTTTTCATGGCAAAGTCCAGCAACTGACACCTTCCTACCCCAAAAATGTTGGGCAGTTTTCACTGAGACACTGTACATGTTCTCCCGCAACGTGTAATGCCTTTCCCATTCCCTGGATTGATTTGTCCACCTAAAGAACTTACCAGAGTCTCTGGTAGCCCCCTTCACCTACGTGATTCTGTTGACCTCTGATCTGCTCTGCAGCCAGAGAACACCGCATGCTGTATCTACCACCTGCGTCCATACCCTGCAGTTGCCAGTTCTGAGGGCATCAAGTTCCTGTCCCCGCTCCTATAAGCATAGAAGCAAGAAGCCCCCACTCCCTCTCCTGCTGCTATACTGATGGGAGCCCTGAACCAGAGTGATAGCCAGCTAGGGCTGGAACAGTAGTGTTCTCTTCCCATTTAATAGGCACAGCTGCCTCTCAGGCTTCAAGGAATCTCCAGGCACTGGCTCTTAAGTACCATCGTCCCACATTCCTAAGGTCGCCTTGACTCTTAAGGGGCAGGACCTTTTCCTTTTAGACAGTGGGATACAAAAGGCAGGTGCCTAGGTATAAGGGGTTAATTTGAGTTGTGACTAAAAACAAAAACAAAAACAAAAAACCCTGGGGACTCCAAAATGTCTCTAGTCCAGCGATTTTCAGTCAGTGTGCCACAAGAATTTTTAAAACACACAATACCTGACTAGTCAGGGACACTGACCTCTTTTCCCTTAGACTGCCAAGTAAGAAAAAAATGACAACAGCCAACACAATAATAGCCATCCCTTGTGAATGAATAAAAATTACACCTATTTTTTGTCAGATCAGCAAAAAATACACTTTTTGGTGTGCTGCAGAGTTTTAGTAATTATATGTGCCATGAGATGAGAAAGGTTGAAAATTGCTGTTCTATTCGATTTTTGTTTATATATATATATTTATTGACTATGCTATTACAGTTGTCCCATTTTTTCTCTCCTTTATTCCCCTCTGCCCTGTACCGCCCCCTCCACCAGCATCCCCCCACCTTAGTTCATGTCCATGGGTTGTGCATATAAGTTCTTTGGTTTTTCCATTTCTTAAACTATTCTTAACTCTTATGCTTCTTATTCCCTGTACCTTCCCCCACTTCTCTCCCCTCCCCCTCCCCTCTGATTTCCATTTCTATGATTCTGTTCCTGTTCTACTTGTTTGCTTAATTTGTTTTTGTCTTTATTATTGTTTTTTTAGATTCAGTTCATAATTGTTTGTTGTCTTTTTACTGTTCATAGTTTTTGATCTTCTTTTTCTTAAATAAGTCCCTTTAACATTTCATATAATGAGAGCTTGATGATGATGAACTCCTCTAACTTGACCTTATCTGGGAAGCACTTTATCTGCCCTTCCTTTTTAAATGAGAGCTTTGCTGGATAGAGTAATCTTGGATGTAGGTACTTGCCTTTCATGACTTTGAATACTTCTTCCCCTTCTTGCCTGCAAGGTTGCTTTTGAGAAATCAGCTGATAGTCTTACAGGAACTCCTTTGTAGGTAACTGTCTCCTTTTCTCTTGCTGCTTTTAAGATTCTCTCCTTATCTCTAACTTGGGTAATATAATTACGATGTGCCTTGGTGTGTGCTTCCTTGGGTCCAACTTCTTTGGGACTCTCTGAGCTTCCTGGATCTCCTGGAAATCTATTTCCTTCACCGGATTGGGGAAGTTCTCCATTACTTTTTTCACATAAGTTTTCAATTTCTTGCTCTTTCTCTTCTCCTCTGGCACCCCTATGATTTGGATGTTGGAACATTTAAAGTTGTCCCAGAGGTTCCTAAGCCTCTCCTCATTTTTTTGAATTCTTGTTTCTTCATTCTGTTCTGGTTGAATGTTTATCTCTTCCTTCTGCTCCCAATGGTTGATTTGAGTCCTGGTTTCCTTCCCTTTACTGTTGGTTCCTTGTATATTTTTCTTAATTTCACTTTGCATAGCCTTCACTTTCTCCTCCATTTTGCAAGTATACTCAACCATTTTGTGAGTATGCTGATTACCAGCGTTTTGAACTGTGCATCTGATAGATTGGCTGTCTGTTCATCGCTTAGTTCTATTTTTGGAGCTTTGATCTGTTCTTTCATTTGGGCCATATTCCTTTGTCTGAGTGCTCCTGTTACATTGTAAGGGTCAGAGCCTTAGGTGTTCACCAAGGTGGGGCAACCCAGGTTGCTGTGCTGTGATGCTGTCTGTGGAGGAGGGGTCTGAGAGGGAACAATGCTGCTTGCTTGGCTCTCAGCCAGCTTTCAGTCACTTCCCCTGCTACCCACAAGCAGGTTGGGCCCTTCTAGTGCTGATTCCCAGGTAGGTGGGTTTGTGTATGTTCCAGGACCCTGTGGGTCTCTCCAATGAACTCTCCTGTGAGGCTGGGTGTTTCTCACCACTGCCCCAACCCCCACAGATTTTTACAGCCAGAGGTTTTGAGGCTTTCTTTTCCAGTGCTGGAATACTTGGTTGTGTGGTCTGTCTTGCTCCCTAGCTGTTCCTCCTGGTTTATCCGCACACGAATGTGGGACTGACCTATCCACTAGCCTCTGCCTCACCCACCTGGTCCTCCAGCTGCCACCTTGCCACACATCCTCCCCACCCCAGCTGCCTGTCTCCGTCCCTCCTACCAGTCTGGATGAGTGTTTCTTCTTTAACTCCTTGGTTGTCAGACTTCCACACAGTGTGATTTTTTTGGCAGTTCTGGTTATTTTTTGTTTTTAAATTTGTTGTTGTCCTTATTTTGGTTGTGCAAGGAGGCAAAGTGTATCTACCTATGCCTCCATCTTGGCCTGCTGCTCTATTCTTTTGTAAAGGAGCAGTAAAAGATAGTGGGGCTTATAATCCCCTCTAATTTTGATACAAATTCTCTCTGTGCCATTTACTAACAATATAATTTCTCTGAGCCTATAACATGTAGATAATAGTATCTGTGTTATATGAGATATATAGTTTACATATATCCATATAGCATATACATGTATCATTCTATATATCATATACCTATATCATATATCATTACATATCAATACATAGCTCTATATATTATTATATAATATCATTACATACATCATATACATATATCAGCAGGCTCCATACTGCACTGCACTGCACACGCGCACACACACATACACAGTGCAGGGCACAGTGCCTGGCACTCAATAATAGGAACCTGCGGAACCAGAAGGGGAATGGGATGGAAGGTCTGTGAGTTGATTTTCATCCCCAACGAAGTAGTAGGTGCTGTGAAAAGGCAGCCCCCATCTCCTCCAGCTCCTGACCCTTTGTCCCTGGATTCTTTTACCTCACTGCACATTCTCTGCAGGGTTCCTTGGATGATGGTGCACTGAGAAGCTTTCCCTGAGCCCAGGCCCTCATGACATCCCAAGACAAAGATGTGGGGCCCTCACTGCACTCTCCTTGGGCCTCCCAGATGGGACCCTGGGAGGCCATTCTTAAGGCTGCCAGGGAGCAGCTTCCGTCTCTGGACTCGGATTCCTCTTTGGTAAGCAAGCACCTTCTTCCCATGTCGTCGTAGGCTCTGACTGCTCTTCCTTTCCCATGGCAAATGTGATGCTGACTCCAGAACAGCTATGGAGATTATCATCTCTGCATTCATTGTCTCTGTTTTTGTTCTCTGAATACATTTATTGGTGCTCGGCATCCTCCCAGGCCATACCAGTGACCCCAAACCACAACTGGAGAGGGCTCCAAGGGTTTATCACAATGCACTGAAATGGTAGCCACTCTCAGTGGTGGTCCTAGCCAAGTCCTAGCCCAACAGAGAGTGGAGAACAGCACCTCAGCAGAGGAGGAAGAGCAGGGCTTCAGCATCAAGCAGACATTTATCTCCATCCCCACTCAGCTGCTAATTTACCATGTAACCTGTGGGCAGTTTCCACCCCTGGGTCAACCTCAGTTTCTTTGTTGCAAAATACAGATAGTTATCACTGCTACAAATTTGGGATTCTGTATATAAAGGGTCTGGCCCAGAGTGGGTGCTCAACAGAAATAACAAAATCATCCATGTCCTAGCATTTTTCTCATCTTGACAAACACCCCAGTTTGCTCTAAGAGTTAAGGACTGAGGCTCCACATTATAAATTGTTGCAAGGATTAAATAATCTACATTGAAGCACAGTGCTTGGCAAGTGGTGACTGTATAATACATAGTAATTTTCTTATTGATCACATGCAGTCCTGCAACAAACAATGGCACACTCAGCCTCTTCAAGGACCAGGAGCCCTTTGTAACAATACAGACTGTGGTGGGCCCTGTTTCACTGTGATGGTAATTGTATTTCTACATTAGTTTCTGCCTAGTAAGAGAATGTTGGGTAACAAAAGTAACTCTGAATTTAAGCATATGTAAACTATATCAACTTCTTCACATAGTGGAAATTAGGTGTGTGCACATATGTAAGACATAACAGTGACCCTATGAACAGAGCAAAGTGGGCAATACACCAAGTAGGAGCTCCTCAGCAGTGGGTGTCAAACACACAGGTTGGAGCTGGCCATTTAGAGAAAGGGCCAAGGTTTTAGAAGTAGCAAGTCAGGGTTCTACCTGTGGCATCTGAAAAAATGAATGTGACACAGATTGGACCTTGGGGCTAATAGGAAGTAGATAATGCAACCCCAGTGCCTTTTCATATCTTCAGTTTCATTTGCTCATCTTCACAATACCCCTGTGAGGTGGGCTGGTGACTGTAAGTGCCCCCACCCTGCATTAGAGGCAGCAAACCAAGGCTCAAGTCATGGAGGAGGGGGAAGGTTAGACTCTGCTCTTTCAGCTACCACTTCAGTGCCCAATTTATTCAGCACCAGGCATTGATTGAACACCCGCCGTATGCAAAGTCTTAAGGATGGCAGGTACATGCAAAATTGGGAGCCCTGTATCTCACCTCCACGAGGTGGTGCTGCTGAGCCCATTTCTAAATCAGCAGCAGGAGCCAGCACTAGTCAAAAACCTTTGGGAAAGAATCGGTCTCCCCTTTGTTCCCCAGCAGCGGGGTGGAGCAGGGTGGGGTGGGTCAAGGTCAGGTGGGGCTTGATGCCCTTCTGGCTCTGCCCACTACCCTGTAACAGAAAAGCTCTCTTGTCTTTCCACAGTCAGACTACGGAGAGGAGGAGCTGTTTATCTTCCAGCGAAATCAAGCACCCCTGATTCCAGACTTGTCAGAAGAGCTGGCTGAAGACGCTGATGGGCCCTGGGTGGCTCTGGCCGCCAGGTCTCCTCCTGAGGTTTGTGGGATGCAGGCTCCAGGGACCCAGTACGCTGGGACCCTACTGGCAATATGGGGTGTGGGAGCAGATGTCCATGGCTCTCACTGGACTTAATAGCAGTGTGGGTTTAAGAGGTTAAAACTCCCGGTCCAGCATCTCTGCACACTCAGGCCTCTCTCCAGGTACAACTTAAGAAACTGAGACACCAAACATCTACCCACCTTGTGCACAGTACTCTTCCAGAATCCCAGCACACTTAGGACCAGGGGTAGGGACTCATTTTCTGTCTCATTTTATCATAGCAAGAGGAATTTTGCTATTCCTCTTGACCCCCAGCTACACTCAGTTCTCAGTGTGAGCACTGATACCGGGTCATCTTACAGAGCCAGGGCATGTCCCTTCCCCATCACCATGATAGAAGTCATCCACTCACTCAGCAATGCCTAAAAGTATGTCTGAAAGGACCCCAAACAGGAGAAATTTCCAGAGCTGCCAAGACCCCTGGTTAGCTCAGGTGGAATGGTGTCCATGTGACTTTATTTTGTTTTCTTCATTTCTACAATTACCTCAGCAATTCTTCTGGAAGATATCTTTTCATTTTACTCTGAGATGGGAAAGTCTGTACCAACTCATGGGGGTGGAGCCATGGGCTTGCTCTGGAGGCAAAGGGCTTGTGTTTTATCTTGTCCATCCCTTAATATCTGTGTGGCCTATTTATGGCCAAAGGTGGAAGCAACCCACATGTCCATCAACAAACAAAATGTGGTGTAGTGATATAGTGGAATATTATTCAGTCCACAAGAAGGAATGAAGTGCTGATACATGCTACAATGTGATGAATCTTCCTCAGTGAGGAAACACTGAGCTAAGTAAAAGGGCACAAAAGGACAGATAGTGTATGTTCTACTTCTATGACATATGTATGTAGAATAGCAAGTTGTTAGAGACAGAAAATAGATTATAGTCTACCAGGGATTGGGTGAAGGGAGGCACAGAGTTTCTGTTTGGGGGATGAAAGAACTTAGGAAGTAAACAGTGGCGATGGTTGCACAGCATTATGAATGTACTTAATGCCACTGAACTATATATTTACAAATGCTAACATGACAAAATTTGTTATATACATATTTTGCCACAATTAAAAAAAACTTCCCTGAAGTATGTTTTTGAGGCTGCTAACTGAGGACACCCCTTTTCTCAATAGCCACCTGTGGTGCCTATGGATTTCTCACCGGAGCCCTGGGGTGAATGGAATGCAAGGACAATGGAAGGAGGGGCCCCTGGCCAGCCCTTGCAGAGCAGTGGTGACAGCAGCTCTGTTCTTAGGGTGCCAGAGGCGAACCCCACATGGCAGGAAGGCAACCCTGGGGGCATGTCCTTCAACAACAAAGGATCCCCACATCCTCCTGGGGGGTCACAGGGAGAAACCACCCTCTGTCTCCCAGAAGGAGGCATGAGGATGGACCCAAATGCTGCCTCCTGGGTTGGGGAGGGCTCAGACTCTGGAAACTTGAAAGCCCTCCGAAGGGAGAGAAGGAAGATGATCGAGAGAGACCTACTTCATAAAGTCACCTGGGGTGCCCGGGGCCCTGCCTGCAGTGACCGCAGTCAAGTGAAGGAGACTCCCTGTGAAGCTGCAGTGTCAGGTCCAAGACCAGGAACGCCAGCACAGGGGCCCCAGGAAGGCTTGCCAGTGCTCTCCCTCCAGGTAAGCAGCTTCCTTGCCCAGTGTGTCCACAGGGTATGCCCTGTAGTGGTCCCAGGATGTTCCTTCATAGGCCAACTCAAGGGCTGGCCCACTACACCTGTCTTAATCTATGGGTGTTGCTATAATAAAATCCCAAGATCAAGACACTGGCACATCCCATGTCTGGTGAGGAGCCTACCCTCTTCTCACTTTGTCCTCACTTCATAGGAGGGATTGGGGCCTCTGTGGGGGCCTACTTTATGAGAACACTAATTCCATTTATGAGGCTCTCCCCTCATGACCTAATCACCTCCCAAAGGCACTACTTCCAACCCCATCATATTGGGGGTTAGGATTCCAACATGTGAATTTGAGAGGGTCACCAACATTCATTCCACAAGAGTTACCTTAAGCCCATAGTCCCCTGTCCACAGGCAGGCAGGCTGTGATACCTGTCGTAGGGGTTGTGCAGTCCTGGCAGACAGACCATCCATCTTCAGGGGGAGTTAACAAGAACAAGGAAGAGTAAGGAGACTCCAGCCTTCTTTAAAAGAGAGAGAGAGAGAGAGAGAGAGAGTTAATCCCAAGCATGTTTATAAAGACACACAACTGCATATAAGATAAAGAACAAACTATGTCAAAGCAAAATTCTCAAAACGTTAAAGCTCCCATTCTCATACAAATCGTGAACACATGTTAATGATGGATTTCACTCACAAATGAGGGAACCAGCGGGATGACAAAACCGGTTCAAAGAGATCATGAGAAACTAGGATTTTGTAAAACAGGGGAAAAGAAGTGAATGCAGAGATAAAATAGCTACATTAAGTGCGAAATTGGTCAACATCCTATAGGGCAACAGAACTGATACCTATGGGGGTATCTTCTTTACTAGACAGAAAAGAAAACCATTGCAACTTCTCAGTTTTACAAAGTTGTAAAACAGGTGGGCCCTGATCAGTTGTGCAAACCAACCTCCCCCTAGAAAGGTGAGCTTAGAAAAGCTCCAACATGACATTGAAAGGTCATGCAATTCTCTTTTTTGCCTTATTAACTAATTTTGGATAATTCTCTTAACAATTTAGAGAAAACTGGCATCAATGTCTTCATTGGAGGTAATCTTCACCAGTTTCATTCTTATCAATTCCATTCTTTCTGTTCACTCCTAAACACCTCTGTATTCACTCACCTACAGGGCTGCAAGGACCTGAAAGGTCATATATAAGAAACATTAATTCCTGATTAATTTCCTTCTTCCAATCACATCCACTCTGCCCTCACAGCATTCTTTTTCAAGTCCTCCAATTTTCAGCACCTGTCTAGAACAACCTGTTAATAGAGTAAAACTTTTTACCCTCTCCGCTAAAACCCATATGAACCTATAAAGTTTTAAAAAGACACTGGATCTGGTTGGGTAGCCAGCTGATTGGAGCTACTCATACACCAAAAAGGTTGTGGGTTCGATCCCTGGTCAGGGCACATACCTATGTTTTGGGTTCAATCTCTGGCTGGGCTGCATGCAGGAAACAGCTGATCAATGTTTCTCACATCGATGTTTCTCTCTCTCCCTTCCTCTCTTTTTCTCTCTCTCTAAAATCAATAAACATATCCTCAATGAGGATTAAAAAAATAAAAATAAACAGACACTGGGTTTCCTCCAGGTCAAAATATTTCTTTGTGCCAGAAACAGAAGTATATATTGCCCAAAAAGCACAAGAAAGAGGTGCAGACCCCAGGTGGTTCATTCTGCAACCCAAACAGGGTGGCTGAGCAAGCCCCATCTGCAATGAGGAGCATGCCTCCAAACCCTGATTCCTACCCCTGGACATCCCATGACAGGCTCCGTTGCCTCCAGCACCCTGTGGCAGCCTCATAATCACCACTCTAATCATTTCAGCAACTTGAAGAGTGGGATTTGGATCACATCCTTCAGAGTCTGACTGGACGAGAAGACGACCACGGAGATCTCATGCCTGGAACTGTGTGGTGGGCAGCTGATCGCCTCCAGGGCCGAGGTCTGACCATAAACACCAGAGTCCAAGTGCAGCCCCAAAAGTAGCTCCTTCCAGGGCCTCTCAGTAAAATAGGTCCGCAGGCTACCACGTCCTCTCTGCTGCTCAGCCTTCACCATGTTTTATTTTTTAATTGAGAGAGAGAGAAACATCAATTTGATGTTCTACTTATTGACACATTCGTTGGTTGAGTCTTGTATGTGCCCTGACCGGGGATTGAACCCACAATCTTGGTGTTTCAGGATGATGCTCTAACCAACTGAGCCACCTGGCCAGGGCCTGAGGTGAGGTGAGGGTGGGAGCTGTAATTTGTAACCCTTTTTGGAAGGCAACATGGCAGAGTCTGTTTTCTATTTTAAAGGCATATAGGCCTTTGATCATCAAGCTATTCCACTTCTAAAGTCTATCCTAACATATACTCATCCAGGCAGGTAAAGATGTGTATTCAAGGATGTTCATTTCTGCTGCAGCTTTTACAATTCTGAAAAATTGAAAGTATCATATTTAGTATCAGTATATATTTAGACCCATACTTAGTATCAGTATTCAATGGGAATCTAGCTAAATCAGTTAAATCACAGTACACTCTGCGAGTTCACGGGGAAATCTGTATATTCTATGCAGAACGATGTAATAGAAACAGTGAAAAAAATCTATAGAAGATAACCCCATTGCTGTTTTTTAAAAAGTGAACACAAAGAAGTGTTAATTATGGTTTCCCTCTGACAAGGGGGACTAGGGAATGAGGAAGTGGGGTAAGTGTTAATAGGAAGTCACCCCTGCCCTGGCTGGGTTACTCAGTTGGTTGGAGCATGGTCCAGATACACCAAGGTTGCAGGTTCGATCCCAGGTCAGGGAAAATACAGGAATCAACCAAGAATGCATAAATAAGTGGAAGAACAAATCCAAATTTCTCTCCCTTCCTCTTTCTCTCAAATCATAACAAAAAAAAAAAAAAAAGAAGAAGAAGAAACCACCCCTATGAGGGGCTCAAATACACTTCCTGTTCCTAAGGATACTGCTCCCTTAGCTCTGGTGAGCAGAGGCTGGGGAGCAAAGGAGTAGAGCAGGGCCTCCTGGCTCCTCACTTATACATGTACAAGCTGGAGGATCATTCACATGAGGGGACAAACCACTGTAAGTCAGTGACCAAGTCCCCACGAGGCAGCCTCCCTTGCTTCCCTTCAGATCATGCTGAGCCCAGTGCCCAGGACAGGCTCATGGAACAGCTCACACTCCTATGTGCCACGAAGTCTGGAGTCTGGAAAGTGCCTGCTGACGTGCCCCAAGATACTGAGCAGCTGGAGGCCACAAGCAGGTGGGACTTCTTCCCAGCCATGACCCTGTTCTCTCTAGAACTGGCTTCTGGCCTTGCAGCCTATCAAGTGTGGGTGGAGCACTTGATATATATTTCTCATTTTATCTCAAGAATCTGATCAGGTAGGTACTACTATTATTTCCATCTAATAGTTGGGAAAACTGAGTCTCAGAGAGGTGGCTTACCCAGGCCATATGTGGCAGAGCTGGGACTCAAGCCCCAAAACACCTGCTCTTTCCCCCACCCCATGGGAACCTTCTCTTCACCATCCCAGGGCATAGGACCCTGGTCTTCTGGCCACTGTTGATTGGATCAGCCCTGGGCATCTGACCCAAAGCAGGGCAATTGGAGCCTTTCTCTGGGAATTGTGGGAGGGTAGAGAAAGGCCATCTGTGATGAGAAACACTGAAGCTAGAGGGGGCCGTAGGGGAGTGGAGCAGAGGTGGGGACAGGGCCCAGCTATAATCCCTTCCCACCCTTTTGCTGTTCCACTTCTTTTAGGAATCTGAGAGCCAGTGATTCCCTTTTTTTGAGTTAGTTGGAGTGGCTTCTGTCCCTGGCAACCCAAAATGTCCAACAGAAATGTCTAGACCTGCATTGTTCATTCACAGCCACTGGCCACATGTAGTTATTGAACGCTTAAAATATGGCCATTGCAACTGAACTGAATTTTTCATTTCATTGTATTAATTTTAGTTATCCTAAATTGTGGCAAGTGGCTACCGTGATGGAAAGTGCAGATAGAGAACATTTTAACCATCATGGAAAGTTCAGTTGGATGGCACTGGCCTAAATCTTAAGGGTTCTGAAGAGTAAAAGAGCAAATTCATCAATAGGCCCACCTCAGTGCCCCACACACAATGGGTGCTCAGTCAGAAGCAGCCGAGAGCCCGGCACAGGTCACGTGTAATCACTGAGAAGGGACTCAGCCAGCACTCCTGCTTTTCTCATCTCAGATGTGCTTTGACCGAGCTGGGCTTGCAGGCGAAGCTGAGTCAGCATCGGCTGAGAAACCCAGCAGAGCCTCCTACCGTCTTCATTGACCTGAGGCCCACCAAGCCATCAGACCAGGGGTCACTGGAAAGGTACAGGGGGAGATGATGGCCCTGCAGCAAACCCACTGCTTTGCATGTGGCACATTGGCCTAAAGAGGAACAGGAACTTCGGCAGGTGGGAAGACTTGGGCATGGGCAAGTCTTGGGAACACTGCTCAGTTGAGAAGTGCTCTTAGCCAGGATCCAACCCTGGCCAACAGTCCCACTTGGTCCTGTCAGCAGGCTCTCCCAGTAGAGGGGGAGGAAGCAGAGGCAGAGGGCAATCTTTCTCAGGTAGAGGTCTAAGCAAACAGTCTTTGTCAGGTACATTGCCCTGGAGTGCTTCCCTCCACCTACTGGCAGGAAGCACAGCAGCCCTTTGGTTTGGACTGGTTGGGGTTTGGCTGGCCTGACCACCCTGCTACCTTGGGTCACCAGGAAGCCTGGGCATTCCAAGTCCCTGGTGGTAGACCAGCTTGGCTGTGGTGGACTGGGGCATGTCCAGTGAACCTTCGTTTCCTCTGCCCCAGCTCCAGCTCCAGCTCCAGCTCCTCTGACAGCGAGGAGGCAGGGGAACAGGAGACAGCTGCTCGGAGAGAACAGCAGGGCCCAGAAGGGCTACGGTAACTACCATAGACTCCTGCTGCCTGGGGCTGCTCCATCTGCTCTCTGCACAAGCCCTTGGTCTGGCACATTTAACATTTGTGCTTTCAGCTCTACGTGTTGTACCCAAAGAGCCAGCACACGAGGGTGGGGGGTCGGTCTTAGAGGTGGGAAGGGCCCCCCTGGGGCCCAGCATTGTCTCAACCTGCTTGCTGCTGTCCCTGGACATCACCAAGGACACCTCAGTCTACTTTTGAGAAGGGATTAGTACATTTTCTTTCTGAAAAATACCTCCCCAGATTGATTTTGCTCCCAACTGGTGATGGCAACGGAAGTGAAGAGGAAGTGTAGTAGGGATAGAGTAAAGTAATGGTTGTTGGCCAGAAATGAAAGGCTTGGGTGAATCAAGATGTGAAATGTCAAATTCAGAGAAGGCTCAAGTCTCCTTTGTGGGGAGGCCACACTGTGGTCACGGGTGAGTTACAATCATATGCGGTGGCAGTGTCCATCATTTTTGGAATTGAAAAGCTTGCAGATCCTACCTTTTAATAATGTCAGAGTCTAATGCAACTTTTCCCCTACTGTGGTCCATGATCAGGCGTTATAGGAAAAAAGAGGGAAGAAAAATTTGGGTTGAGAAAGGTCACACAGGTTTTATCCCAAAAATGGTTTAACATGTTTATATGCATTGTGACTCAGCAAGGGTGGGAGCCTGCGATTGTTATTTATGTACATCTCAAGGACTGGGAAAAAAATGCTTCTGGAAGCACTCTGGCTTGTGTGTCTGTCCTGTTTCAGTGGCAAAGCAATGGGAGCTTTGGCCTCCACTTGGTATTGACTGAGGTTGCTTCTCTTGTGTTACAGGGACTGTACCGGGAAAAGTCAGCTTCTCCAGCAACTCAGGGCTTTTCGGAAAGGCATGGCTCAGCCCCAGTTGCCTGCCAGCAAGGGTCCTAAAAGCCAGAAGGCTCGGGCCCTTGAAGATACAGCTGGATCCAGGACTGGGAAGAAGCAAGACATAACACTTTGAGCTGAGAGGCAGAGTGCCCTGGCCAGACTCTCAGGAGGAAGTCCCGGGGCCTTGGGGAACCCTCTTGGGCCAGGGACAGCCAGAGAGGTCCTGGTGTTTCCTGTTTCCTCTGGGCCAACTGTAAATGCCTCTGGGACTAGATCTTAGGAGATTAGCAAAATGGTTTGACTCTGTCAACATGCCCAGGCCCGATGGTCCCTTTGCCCTCCCGTTTCCATTAACAGGTGCTTTTGTATCTGTCATCTAGCCCTCAGTTAAAATTTGGTCAGAATATTTTCATGCATTTAGAGCAAAAAGATGCCAGCACAAAATTGTACTCAATGGCAACTCAAGTGACCCCAATCCTCTAGAAGGGCCTGGAAGGAAAGCCCATGAAGACAATGTTTTTGTTCTATCATGGAATTGCAAGCCTATTAATCTTTGTCCATTTTTTGCATTTTGCCTTTTAATGTGCACCTGTTATTTCCATCATACAAGGTCTTTTTAAAAACTATATAATTTAAGTAAAACATACTTAGAGAATTTCAAGGTGGAAAGGTCTTGAAAGATAATTTAGCCTGATTTTCTGGGTCCCTGAATACTATTTTGTGTACTTAAATTAACACATTATATATACACCAAATGAACTTTTGATTGAAATTTGATACCTGTTTTTTCTTTATCCAAGCCACAAAGGCACATAGATGTTCTAAGTGCCTTTGTGGAGTTGGCGGAGTTGATCTTAGAGGAGAGAGAACACTGAAGATTCTAACACCTGAACTGTCCGTTTCACAAGGTTATCTTTCTGAACAGCCAGCAAGAGCTAGGGGCCCACAGGAGGCACTCCGATCTCTCTCACCCTGTTACTTTACAAGCATTATCTTCAACCCCCACCCCTCATTTTCATGATCCTTTCATAACTATTGTTTTCAGCCCTGCTGCCCAACAGCTGATATGTGGCACCTTTGTTTCCTCCTCAGCTTGTTTCCAAGATTCTGCTTCTCATTCTCAGCCTCACTCTGCCCTGCCTGCCCCACAGGAAGAGCAGAAAAATCATCTGGGGTTTTCCTATGCTGTAGACTCAGGCAGGGTCCTTGGCGTTTGGGTTCCAGCATTCAGCTGGGGTCATTGTTGGCTGCCATCTGCTGAGGAGGGGCCAAGGGTTTCTTCCAATTCAGTTTTGCACCAGGCAAGACAGGCCCTGCTCAGCCTCAGCCAGCTACAGGCGGTCAAGATCAAAACCAGACTCTACTTGATCTGGCCATGGGGATCCCACCACCAGCCCCCCACTCACAACAATGAAGGGCATTTTCATTAGAAACCAGATGCAAGAGTGGCTTCACCAAGGCCGTAGGAGGCCCAGGGGAGGCCTTCCTGCAGAGAACATCCCCAGGCCCTGCCCCATGTGTGGAGTGCCCTCCCCCTCAGTTCTGGGGCACGTGCAGGGAAGACGGCAGCCTGAATGTCGCACTCCTCCACCTGTTCTGCCAGCCTCGCTGTCAAGAGCAAAGGCCATTTTTTCCCCTTTTAATGTCAGTAAAATCACTTATGATGTTTCACAGTGATAGAAAATAAACTGTTCCAGTTTGACTTTGAATTACTCTCTGTCAAAGCAAACTGGGAGGATGAGGCAGTGGGAGTTCACGTCTGGGTTGAAAGCCTGTTCCACTACCTGGAAGAGGTGCTGAAAGTTCTCGAGGGCTTATTTTCCCCATCTATATAAGGGATTTCATGAAAAGTCCTAAGTCATAGTACTGTGTGAGATAATATCACGTAATAGGCGCTTCACGGGCCCAGCTGGCAGACCAGGAAGAGGACAGCCATGTGCAGCACCACTCTGGACCCGAAAGAAGTGAGCCAAGGGCTCTCAGCTGCGTGGGGGAGGTGGGTGGTCAGCAACACTGAACAGCCGGATCTGGCTGGGTACTACACGTCCCATGAGAGCTCTGGAAGCTGGCCTAGAAGGTAGAAGCCATTTTTAAACCAGGTGGCCCCATTCTCCAGAGAACACACAGGACAGAGCACACAGGGCTGGCATCATTTATTAAGGGAGAAGAGCAAGTCACGTAACCTGGAACCTGTGTTGCATAGAAAGGTGAAAATGTATATAGCAATTGAGTGACAAAACAGAATAGAGCATAAAGAACTGGCATGAAGACCAGTCACCTAGCAATAAGGAACCACACTTATGGATGGAATGTTCCAGAACCTAGTGGTTTCAGCAGCTGCCCCATGACTCCAGAGATGAATAAGCTGAACAAGGACTTAACACCTCTTCCCCCAGCCACTCAGGAGACCACGGATATAAACAAATAGGAAAGGCACATGTGCCTCAGGAAGACTTAAGTGGGGCAATCAAGGCCGGCCTGTGACCCGGAAGATGGCCACTCGGGGCCAGAACAGAGCCAGCTCTGGATCCTTACCCTGGGAGGGTAGCAAGGCCAGTCAAATCCCCAGGGTTCCTCATAGGTGGGGGAGATGGAATCTCGGGAAGGAGTCCTACACCAGGCATCCATCCTACAAAACTGCGGATCTTCAAAGGCAATTCCCAACTCACCCCATACACTTGCTGACACCACCGGCATGAGGAAAAGCCCCCATCACCTGCATTTTTTAAGTGTGGCAAGGCTGGAGGGGAAGGATCGGGCATGTGATGCTGCAAGCAACTGCAGCCATTGAGGCTTCCGCTGCAGTAGTTAGAGCGTCCCCCAAATTCTAGTTCAACCAGAACCTCAAAATGTGACCTTAGTTGGAAATAGGGTCATTGTAGATGTTATTAGTGAAGATGAGGTCACTGGAAAGGGGGCCTAAATGCAATGCTATTTACTTGATGTCATTAATGACTGTAAGTGAAGATCACCCCCATTCCTCCTGGAACAAGTATATGGCCATGTCCTCCAAGGTCATCAGCACCCTCAAGGACACAGCCCACACAGTCCCATGCCAGTGCTCCTTCATGCCGGGCCAGCCTGCTGGACTGACCTGTTCCTTCCACTCACGTCGTAGCAGTGGGTCCTTCTCACCTCCCACCACTTTTTCCCTCTCCACACTTTCCCTCCCCACATGCTGTGTCATACACCTCTCCTCCTCCCAAGCTTGGCTCAGAGACATAGCAGGATCCTGCTCTTCAGGACTCTGTCACCACCATGCTCCGTCCTTTTGCTGCAGGGCTGTACACAGTGTGGACAGATTTGCTGTGTGGAGCAGCTGGATCTACTGCCTGCTCAGCCATCGCGACCCACGCTTCTCAGAGACATGGACTAGCATGCTCTCCCCCAGCTCAAGCCAGCCCTGGGACCCAAATGGGGTGACTTGAGAACTTCAGGATAGCTCTAAGTTAGTGGTCCCCATATCTAGCACCAGACTGACCTGGGGAGCATGGTTAAAACCCACACAAAAGTAGACGTGCTCTTCCTCGAGGGAGCATGAGCACCTTTTCCCTTCCCCTTCTCCACCCAAGGCTGGTTGCCTCTGCCTCTCTCTCTCCTAAGCTCCAAGTGCTCTTCAATTACCTTTGTAACTTTCTAAATAAACTTTCTCTTATAATTTGAAAAAAACAAAAAAACCCAAGCAAAAGTAAATAACTTACTTTTTTTAAAGTAAAAGTAAAAAGTAATTAAATAAAACCCAAGCTTACAATGTCCAGGGGAGACAAATCCAGAGACAGAGAGAGGATTGGTGGCAGCTGGGGGAGCAGAAATGGGAAGCTAGTGGGTGTGGGGTATTTTGGGGAGGTGATGAAAATGTTCTCAAACTGATTTTGGTGATGATCGCACAACTCTGTATAAACGCTGTACACTTTAAATGAGTGAATTGTATTTAATATGAACTGTATTTCAATAAAGCTGTTATTTAAATAAACAAGGAAAAAAAGATTATTCCAGGGCAGAGCTGGAGGAGAAATCTGTATTTTTACCTAGAATCCCAAGTGATTCTAACACCCAGCTGGGTTTGAGCAATTGCCCAAGCTCACCGTTGGACCCCAGACTCCTCCAGGACATGCCTAACACTCACGAGACTTCTCAGGAGGCAAATGTCACTCCAGGGAAAAGCGCCTCTGAAACCCACTAAACTGGCCATGGGAGAGAAGTGTCCCCGCAGGGATGCTGTAGACCAGGAATGCCTGCTCACCTGGGACCAGGAAGGACATGGCAGATGGTGTCATCTCTTGGTGCTGGGAGGCCACTGGGCCTGGAGGAAGAGCAGAGTCACCAGTGGAGCCCACAGAACCCACCTTTGGGCACAGCCAATGAAGGCAAGGACAGGTCCAGCAGCTCCCCACCTACGCTCAGCTTTCCACCGGGAGCCGCACACACGCAGCCCTCAACCTCCTGTGATACTGCTTTCCCTTTGCCTCCCACCTGCAGGGGTGCTTTTCTTGAGGGGTGGCTCCTCATCCCTCTTTGGCCAGAGCTCAGGGCTTCTTTTTGTTCTGTGGCTCAGCCGGGCAGGGTGATGCTGGGTGGAGTGCTCAGCCCCTTCCTCCAGGGACTACTCCTTAGGCTGGGTCTTGGCCTGGCATTTCAAAGACTGGTCCCTGTCTGGTGGGGCGCTGCGTTGTCAGAGAGTACCTCCAGGCCCTGCACAGAGGGAAAGCTGCCAACCAGCTCCCAGGTCAGGGGAAGACCCACAGAGTCCCCAGCCCCTCTTGTTGGGAACCCCTGGGCACCCTCACCATGAAGGTGGCATTGTTATTGCACCCTTGACCCTCCACGTGCCACACACAGCCCTACCTCCAGCCAACACCCAGGAAGAAGGAAAGTGAGCTGGGAAGAGGTCAGGCTCCCAGCCTGGACAAAGGGAGGCCTGGTATGCTCCTGAGTGAGACTCCCCGTGGTGACTGCATCAGCGTCGCTGTCACACTTACCCTGTTTCCTGGTTCTCCCAACCAGCCTTGGGCCAGAAGGGCCCTAAATCCAATCTCATTTTGGAAGTTGGCAATACTGCATTTGCTACGTTATTTGAAATCATCTACAGGTGCTCTGGGATAATCTTATTCCTAATTCCAGAGAAAGGGAATTGGATGAACTTGAGTCACAGTTTACTGAGCCCTGCAACAGTACTTGGGACGAGACATTCCC